TTTCCTACTAATTGTATCTCCATAACAATAGGTCTACTCCCTTCAAAACCCTCTTCAACGATATCCAGGCCCCCCAGTAGCTTCGATTTCTAATCATTGGTTGCAGACCATAATAAAACCGGATTCCTCCCAATATCAGCTTGAGCTAGAACGTGAGCTTCCGAGTTCCTTTCCCTGAACACAAAAGCCACCTTCTAGGAGAACCTATCGCAATAGGCTTTGCATTTTGCAACCTGACCAACAACCAAAGGAGCAGACCGCGAATCCTTGATCCAATTGACCACGGTGTTGCAATCCGACTCGATAAGCAATTTTTCTTGACCACACCACCTCGAAGACTCGAATAATTCGCAAGCTTCCAGTATTGCATTTAATTCTGCTCCCTTGACATCTGAAATACTCATTGGTTTAGAAAATTTGATTAGGATAACTCCATTGTGGTTGCGAAGAACGCCTCCAATCCCAGCTGGATCAAAGCTTCCCCGTACTGATGCATTAACATTGAATTTGAACATCCCCTGGTGAGCAGCAATCCGGGAACCAACAGCTGATCTTTGTTTTGGGGACAAGGGAATGGAAGTTGTAGACGGGCAAAGAATTAAATCACCAATGGACAAAATAGACTCTGGACAAATTGACTTACTCCAAATCCCAATCCTTAATAATGCTAAATCAAGAATTCTTGATGCGTCAAACTTTTACACGGCCTCATTACGTACTAACCAAATTGTCCAAACGATAGTAACCACAATGGTTTTAAGGAGGGTTTAGTCGATGTTTGTTTCCAACTAACCAACATTTCTTTCAATGAACTGTTTCCAGCCTATTGATACAAAGAACGCAGCTGCTAGACTCAACGTTGCACACCCCTCGCTTCAAGAGTTCAGTTCTAACTGGGATTCGACTTGCACCTTTCTCTACTAAAACCATTCCACTTTCGGTGGTGCCAACCCCGACCACACTAAAGTAGATTGGCGTACACAAAAAACCTTAGAATCGTAAATGCCATTTGGATTTCCAGACAACCTAATTTTTTTTTAATTTGGGATAATTATAGGAAAGTATTTGTTAAAAACTTTCTTAATCAATTGGTAATATATACACTTTGCAGATTTAATTGTTCGGATCTAAAACTTTTACATAGATCAATATTTTTTACCACTAAGACCACTTGATAAATTCTTTTTGGGCTAAATGTTGTCCTCAACTTTTATATATATATATATATATATTTTCCTCGCACATTTGTCTTTTTATGCGAATTTTATTTTAAGAAAACTTTTTATTTCAATAAAAATGATGATATTTTTTTCTAATTTTTGTAACACTTTTTTCTTACTTTGTAGTAAGCTTTTTTTTAAGATTAAATTTTACATCATCTTCAATTAAAGAATGTCTAATTATTTTATTAATCTATCTCTATTTAGAATATTTAAATTGATTCTTTTATATAGATAATCGCTTGCATTTAACTAAAGTAAGTCACAATTGTTTTGTGATAAAGTCATTTATTAAAGTATCATCATTGTTATATGTATTTTTACGTTAGTATCAATTGCGTTTATTGTCGTAATGATGCTTATTTGTTCCTATCATATTTTTTTCAAGTTGTTATGTTGATTTTCTAAATCTTTCCATTTCTTAATGACTAATTATGAACTATAATGATTGTAGATAAAATGATTGACTGATGTGTTTAATAATAGATTCTAATTTTGATTGACTATTCTTGTTATATTATTATATTTTTTATTATTAGTAAAAAATATATATTCAATAATTAATAAAATTAAGTCACAATTAAATATTATTAATTGAAATTTAAATTAATTTCTAATAGGAATTTAATTTAAAAAATAAAATTCAAATGGATTGTTGTTATATGAACTTGAATTATTAAATGAATAAAAATCAGTGTATGTTGTTTGACTCAGTGAGTTTATTGAATGCTACAAAATTACTTTTTATGGAGTTGGTCTCATATTGTTCATCAACTTTTTTCTTCTCCAAGTGAGGGCTGATTCGTTGTTGAAAAAATGCAACCAATAACCCCCAAAATCACACCTTTTTCTTTTCCATTTGTTATTTCGAAGCAATGTTTAACCTCTCTCTCTCTCTCTCTCTCTCCTACGCAGATCGGCAGATGTCACGTGCGATCTGAGGTAGTACATCGTGCTTTTCGCTTCTCTGCCTTCTTCTGCAACTCTGCATCCCCAACCCACCTCATAGATTCACAGACCCCAAATTTTAACCATCTTAATCACTATTTCCATGTGTTTAAAACTGTAAAAATCTATTTCTTAAGATTTAAATCCTCATAAAATATAAGTTTTAAGTCTTGATCCACACTGTACTTAGTATTTAATTGCCTTCTGTGCATGAAAAACTGGGGAATTTTCACCACCCAAACCCCAAAAAGTTTAAACACACTGGGAATTTTACTTGGAAGACTGAAGCGTTAACTTAAAATGCGTTCGTACAAGAAAGTTGCAGCCTTTTTTGACAGCCGACTTTACCATTATTCCTATTCTCATTAATACCATGCACAAAGGTTATTGTGTTTGTCAATCCAGAAAGACCATTGTTCTCTTCTTCTTCCTCTCTCCGCCATTCATTATGTACACACATATTTTCGTTGGATCTTATTTATATAGTATTATTATATTTATATATATTAGTCTATTTATATTATATAGTATAAACGTATTATATGACTATACATTTATGTGTATTGTATAGTATATATATTATGTTTATATTATATAATATATACATACTATATTATGTACTATTTATAGTAGGTATATATATTATGCCGTTATACATTCCCGTATATTATATAGCATATTTATATTATAGTATATATATATATATATTATATATTATATATATATGCATTATATATTATTACATATTATTTATGATATATATATATATATATATATATTTATCATTTTTTGTTTTATTTGAAGATCAACCCAACCTAAAAACAAGCCCCACTAGGCCCAATAGTCCAAGCCTAGCACACGGGAAGTCTACCCTAGTGGAGCTAGGGTTTTTGCCTTCTTCCCTTTAGCGTTGCGCGCCTTGGACCGTTGGATCAACTTGCAATCCGACTGTCAAAATGATAACATCTAGGGCTCTTGGAGAATCCTATCCCAGCCGCAACAAACAACCCATTTCCAGATTTCTCGGCACAACATGGATTTCATGAAAATCAGACAAAAAAACCCAAAGAGCATATAGTATTTTCATCTAACTAAGACTCTAAACCAAACAAAAAAAAGGGATCCCTAAGTCTATAAATCCCTACGAAATCAAAAGCATGGGGGTTAGATTGAAAAGAGAAAGCAAAAGACTTGAAATTTCGAAAGGAAAAATCAATAAAAGAGGTAATATTTTTTACCTTTCTCGATTTGCTTTTTTGTTTGCATGTTCCATTGTTTGGCTTTTTGTGTGTTTTTCTTTATCTCGAAAAAACATCATGGACGGAAGAAGCCGATGATTGGAGGAGATTGAGTGCGAAAGATCTTTATTAGATCTTGCTCTCCTCGAGGCTTTTTAACGAAAATAGTGGTGGGATTTGTAATGAGGAGGATGAGGGCTTTCGAAAGGCGTAAAAATCGCTCAGTTTTATTGTCGATGAACGACGGTCGATGAGGCAGAGCATGGCAGGAATTTGGGTTTTCATGAACTCCGGCAAAGAAAAGAAAAAAGGGATTTTGATCCGTGTTTAGGGAGAGAGAAAAAAATAAAATTTGTTTCATGATTTTTGGGCTTTATACTCGACCCGAGGACCCGTTTGGAGCCCCCAGATCAGCGTGTTTTCTTCTGGGTAGGGTCAAATTACGTTTTCGATCCTTAGAGTTTTATTGAAAATCCATTTTATTTTTTTTAATTTAATTTTAACTATGGTTTTTTTAATTTTCCATACACTTTGTTTCATTTTTTTAATTTAGTCCTTTTTATATATTTCGTGTTTCATTTAATCATATTTAACAGACTATTACACTTTACGAGATTTTGATATTACGATAATCGTTTTATTTTTATTTTATTTTTCTTTTTTATTTTACTATAATTTAATTAATTCTCAAATTATCTTTGCTTTTCATTACTTTATCTTGCAATTCGCATTTTTTTCTTTTGTTTTAATCTAATTGATCTTTTCTTTACATCATCTTCTTTATTACTACGTGCTTTCTTAATATGAGTGATATGTTTCTTTATTTGGCATGAATTTGTTCTATTTATTTTTGGCATTCTATTCTTTTAATTTTATTTCTATTTATTTCTCGGCATGTATATATATATTCTTCTTTCGACCCACTCAATATTTTATTTTACAATTTAACATATTTTTTACCTTGTTTAGGGGTATTTTATTGATCAAATGTAAGTAATTCAGATCAAATTTTAATTTTTACTTTAACTTTTAATTTTCGTAATTAAGACAATCGAGAAATTAAATTAGTATCGAAAATACAGTACAAGAGTGCTAATCATTTCTTGATTGTAATCGACTACCAAACCCGACATATTTCTAATAAAATGCATATCAAATAAGAAGATAAATCGAGATGTCAAATCAATCTAAATTTTATTTTTAAAATAAATAATCAATACCAACTCTAATATATTTATTTAAGTCGAAATTCAATGTGCCCACCCGAATCACAGTTACAAGACACTCTCTTTGATTTCTTCCATTAATGATGACTCCCTTTTTGCCCTCGTTACTTGCTCCTTTAATTATTTCTTGTTCCTTCAACTTTAAATAAAAATTACACCAATTCACATTCATTGCTTTGTACCACCCCTGTTTTGCTGTTTTCAGCTTCTGGTTAATCTTTTAAGCTCTGGGTCGTAATTATCCCTGTCAGACACGCTTAATTACTGCCTCTGCCACTGTCATACACCTCTTTCTCTATACACCTACATTTACTTGGCGCTTCCTTCTTCTTCCTCTTTTATGTCACTGGTTTTTTGGATTCCTTTGTTGACTTGCAATTTCTGGGTACTTCATCGTTTTCTTGGTGGAGTGATATTACGTAAAAAGAACACTAACGCCATCGGTTTTTCGTTTTGTCCCGTGGTGACCGGAGATTCAGAGGACAGCGATGGCTGTCAAGTCGGGTGGTTCTACTTCGTCTCTCCGGTCTCTGCCTCCACCATGTCCAAAATCGCCACCGGAGTATCCTGATTTGTATGGGAAACGAAGGGAAACGGCTAAGATTCAGATGCTTGAGAGAGAGATTAGTTTCCTTGAGGTGTGCTTAAAATTTTGGCTTGCTTCGGTGTTTTTTAAGTTTATATTTGATTATCATGTTTAACTTGCTTAAAATATAATGTTTTCTTTAATGAATTAGGATAAAAATATATACTTTATATGTTCACAATCCAGCTACATCATGGACAAATTTATTATTAATTCATTCGGACCGATCGACACATTCGGATATGGTTAAAAAATAAATCTTTTAAAGAAACTCAATATAATTCTTGCTCATCTTTGAATTTGTAAACTATGATTTGAATGAAGAACGGACTTTGGTTTATCAATGGAAGACAACATTCTGTTTTGCACCATCAAGAGATGAAACTTTTATCGAATTTGTGCCCTTTATTTGCATTGTAAAATGTTGCTGATGATTTCATACGGAGCAGGAAGAGCTGAAATCCGTCGAAGGTCTCCAACCTGCTTCGAGATACTGCAAAGAGTATGTGAAGCTTTTCAGTTACCTTGAATGACTATATTTTTGTATAGGTGAAGTTGAGCATTTGCTGAAGAATTTCTTACATTTATATTTTTCTTCTTCATTTCAGGGTTACAGATTTTGTGATGGCAAAATCCGATCCTCTAATACCTACGTAAGAATTAAAAATGTTGTTGTTTTCACCAATTTTCGTGTAATATCTAGAGGAGTTAAGCCCTTACGTTCTATATTTTTCTTCTTTGAAGCAGTAGCCGGAAGAATCGAAAGTCACGTCGGTTTTGGAATTGGCTTTGGTACCAATTTCTTGTGCTTCTGTTTTATGTTTATTCTTTATTAGTTGGTATTTGTGTATACACGAACGATGTCTACTGCAAACTTTCTGTTTTCTTTACTTATCCCGCTTTATGACATTAATTCCGTTATTTTGCAGTGGAATTCCCTGCTTTAACTTGTCATGGATCTGCTGTTGCTGCTATTCCGGGTGCTCTTCCCATTTGAAATGTTCGCAATGCTATGACGGTGATTTATGCAACAGCGGCTCATGCATTTGCAACTTATGTAAATGCAGCTCGTCTGACCTGAGTTCATGCAAGTGTCGCTCATGCGACTGCAGCTCATGTAAATATAGCTCGTGTAAATGCAGCAGCTTATGCAACTGCAGTTCGTATAAATGCAACTTGTGTGACTGCAGTTCATGTAAATGTAGCTCATGCGACTGCTGTTCATGTTCAAGCTGCTGCAAAATCCCGAAATGTCGACGTAAGTGCAGCTCATGCAGCTGCTGCACAATCCCAAAATGTCGATGTAAGTGCAGCTCATGCAACTGCTGTTCATGTTCAAGCTGCTGCACTATGCCGGGATGGCAATGCTTCTCGTGTCCTAAATCCCATTGCTGCAAAAAGGTCTCATGCAGCAGCCAAAACTGCTGCATTTTTCAATTCCCTTCAATGACAGATTGCTTTTGCTGTAGATGGAAATGTTCTCCTAAATGTCCAAAGGTAACCCTTTGCTGCAACTGTACAAAAACCTGTTGTAATTAATGCTTGCTGCCTCTTATTCGAATATATTTCTGCATGTTCGAGTCTAATCCTCGACATGTTGATTAGTTTCTAGTAAAGTATTGAATCAATGCCTCAGTCATAGTGTGGTATGAATTATTGAATCAATCATTCAATTTGTTGGGACTTAAAAAAACCCAGATTTAAGCTAGAATTGCAGGAGCAGACTACTGTTCTTATCTGCCATTTTAGGATCACGATGTTGGGTGACAGTGAGAGAGTACGATGAACCTATTTCAGGTCCCAAAATTCAACTGACAATTTCATCATGGATGATGCAAAGGAATTGAAAACACTTTCATGGTTTTCTGCCTTTCAAACTCAACCAAATTATGTGGTTGATTTGTCTTTTCGATCAGTTCTTAACCCAGAATGCAATCCATGTTCATTCATTTCATTTACAATGACAAAACATCAAAGTTTCAAAGAAACCAGGGATTTTGACTGTGCTAGGGGTCCCGTCGTTTGTCCCCCCTCTTTTCTTTTCCTTGTATTGTGTGCTACTTTGTCGAAATCCGCAATGAACCTTAATTCACTTGTCAATGGCGGATGTTCATTTGAAGGGGAATCTGTTAGTGTTACCATCAACTTAATCAAGCAAACTCCATAAAATAACTTATGTGGAGAAATATTACAAACGACCCTGATTTTGCATGTGGGCCTTGTTTACAAGTCAAATCTCAATATTAAAAATGACATTTTCAGGACTAGAGGGTTCCTTTTGCACCAGATTTCCTGGATGGAAACTAGTGCTGAGCGAGGCTTGTTAATGGGTGAAAACAACCCAGAACTGTAAACTTGTCAATCGCTTAATTCTGTCCACGAGAAGGAAACTGGGCTTTTAACTTGGTTTCGAGCATTGCCCCACACTATTGAACCAAATTCAGGTTTAGCCATTGGGCTTGTCCCTCTTTTAGCTACAAAAGTGACGGTGTATCTCTTCTTTTCCCCCACGGTTCTAAAAGTTATTGTCCTCGGCCTAACTGAGATCCCAACTGTCGATGGTCCATTGACTGTGACTCTGTATACCGACCGTGCAGTGCCGACGTTTGTTAATTCACGAGTGTATCGAACAACCCTTTTGTCTCCGAACAAGACTGAAAACGATGGGTAGTTGAGTTCACCGGGGTCATTGAATTTCCTCAAGCACGTAATGTTGGGGCGCTTCGCTATGGTCTTGACATGATCGATGGTGTAGCCGAGTGAGCACAAAAATGTAATGTATTCTTCAATGGAGATGTCGTATACTAGGCCGGGTGAAAGAGCTTTTTGGGGATCAACATGGCCAGCGCCATGAGCCCATGGGTTCGAAAATGAGCCATCGGCAGCATCATGGAGAGACGAGTTGGTGTTGTCTTGAGAGTAGGCCGTGGTCATAAGAGCCGATTTTATTGCACTTGGGCTCCATTCAGGATGAGCTGCCTTGATCAATGCTGCTAGCCCACTGATGTGTGGGCACGACATTGATGTACCTAAAGCAACAAACAAAATTACTATGATAAATAACTAAACATAATAATCAAATTCGAATGCATGTATTGTACGAGTATATCTAAATATCCATAGTTGAATATTGTTAGATTATTCTTACTAATGGTATTTTGTTTATGAAAATAACTCTGTTGGACACAAAGTCGAACAGATTATGGGCAAAAGACAAGTGATATAGCCGTTGGTAAATACCTGACATGATATTGAACATGGTCTTCCTCGTGTCCTTGGCCAACCCAGTGGGTCCAATGGCCTCAGACCAAGCCGCCAATATGTTGACTCCCGGTCCAATCACGTCCGGTTTCAAGATCTGCGGTGTCACCATATTAGGTCCCCGGGAACTAAATGCGGCAACAATCGGTGATGGTTTAACATACAACACTGTGCCACCAAAGACAAGTGCGGCAGTCGGATTGGGATCGGACCGTGCGTATTCTCTGATCAAGTCGCCGACCTTCCTCCCCACGCCACGGCAGGTAACAAATGACTGTCAGCCACCAGTTCTTCACCACTAACCGCCGTGTTCGCTATTATCATCCCGACGCCACCTGCGTCGCGCACGACTGCTCCCTTTTCAACTCGGCGTTTGTTCCCCTATCGCAGATCACTACCTTCCCACGAACCAAAGCCGGATCAAGTGAGCCTGTCAGACATAAATTACTCGAACTTCTATCTTTGCTGTAAACCAAACCAACCGGTTTATTTCCCATTCCTTGACCGCTGTAAAGCGAGACGCCGTTATAACGGACTTTATTTCCTAAAACTGCGTAAGCGGGGAAGTCTCGATCTAAAGTCCCGGCACCAACCGTCATAATCCATGGCGCCACGTTGGCAAGACTGGCCCTAGAGGGGCCGCTGTTTCCGGCGGAGCAAGAGACGAAAATACCCTTCTCCATCGCCGTGAAAGCACCGATGGCGATGGTGTCACGGTAATACGGCGCGGATCCGCCACCGAGGGACATTGAGAGAACATCGACACCGTCTTGGATAGCCCGATCCATGCCGGCCAGAATGTCGGACCCGAAACAACCCGTTTCCCAGCAAACCTTGTAGGCGGCGACCCGAGCGTGGGTGGCCATCCCACGAGCCGTTCCGCTGGCGTAACCGAGGAGGCTAGCGTTGCCCACGTGAGATCCAGCTGCGGTGCTGGCAGTGTGGGTTCCATGACCATCTTTATCACGTGGGGACTCAACCTCTCTGGGCTTTTTGTAAATTCCACCACCGCCAGTGGCCATATGGAAGCCTTTCGAAAAGCTTCGAGCTCCGATGAGTTTCTTGTTGCAAAGCTTGGGATTGAAATCAGGAGCCGATTCACACTCACCACGCCACCTAGAAGGAATCGCCGGCAAGCCGGAATCGTCAAAGCTTTTAGATTCCGGCCAAATCCCGGTGTCGAGAACTCCAATAATGACATCCCGAGAAGCTTGTTCGAGTTGCTGGGTGTTATGGCCTTCCCAGAGCCCAAACTCGGAATCAAGGCCTAAAAATTGCGGAGTACGAGTCGTATGAAGATTATAAACAGTATCTTCATAAACACCCAAAATAGAGTCCGATTTGCTAAGAGCTTCAGCTTGTTCTGGATCAAGTGAAGCAGCGAAGCCATTAAACGCAGTGTTATATGAATAGAGAAGGGACTCAGCTGGGGTGGCAGAGAGTGATTGCAAGCTTGAACTGTACCAATCATGGTGGGTTTCAAAAGACAGTGGTTTGTCTTGATGTTTCATGTGAACAATGTAGGTCTTTTTGGAGGTAACTGTGAGACAAAGTACGAGGAAGATGAAGCCGGGGAAGAATGTAGATGAAGCCATGGAAGCCATGGCTGTAAACTAAGGATTATTAGTACTATCAGTACTATTAATGAACTTAGTTTAACACTAATATTGAAAAAATTGGAGGAGACAGAGAACAGGATAGCTTGAAAGCATTAGACTGATGTCGGATTTATAACGAACTTGTATTTCTAATTGGCCTTCCAATTTTGCTTTATTTACTTCGGTGCCATCCCGTCGGTGTTCCTATGATATGTACGAGTAGTATTTTTTATTATTATTTAAAGTATCAATAATAATTTGTAATATTTTTAATTATCAATTAGAAAGTTATATCTATTTTAAATATTATTAAATATTTGAAAATGTACATTAAATTATTCTTACAGTCGTTGTTTGAATTCGTAACTACTAAAGATAATAATAATTCAATTATTATTGAAGTAAGTTCGTTTATGTTCAATAATTTATATTTAAAAAGTAATATCTAAGATTAGCGGTATGAATTAAACTAAATGATAAAGTGATTTATTGTTATTTTTAAGATTTTAATTTTGAGTATATATAAAAATATAAATATTTATTGTTAAATGATCGAGAGTATTTTTATATAATTTACTTTATATTCACTCCATATTTATAAAATAAAATTCATAAAGCTTAATTATTATTATATGTGAGTTTTGTTAAAATATATTTTAGTTTAAATTTAAATTTACTTTAATTATAAAATATATTACGATATTCTTTTAAACTAATTAAATATCTATATAAATTAGATATCTTTATTTGGATATCTCCCCATTTTACGAGGTTAATGCTCCACATCTATAACGGTCTACCCGTGTCTATAGTGTTAAGCGTGACAGATATTTGTCTTTTTCAAAATCATATGGTAAAGGATGAAGTAGGACATACAGCTGTAGAGAAGTTATAGGAAATGCAACCTAATTTTACTAATATAACCTTAACTGCATTATGTCTCTAAATTATGATTTTAATTTTAAATTGATCTTTAGATTTTTAAATATTTTAATTTCATCCCTAAACTATGATTTTTATTCTAAAGTTATCCTTAATCTTTTGAACATTCTAATTTCATCCTTAAAATATGATCCTCTTTCTAAATTGGTCCCCAAACTTCTGAATATTTCAATTTCATCCAAATATATAATTAGTTTCAACTATAATTTAACTTAAATTTTTTTCAAACATACAATAATATAACTTAGCCTAATGATTCTATTAAGAAGGGATGTGATTAGTGTATATGTATAGATTGAGATGATATTGGAATGTTCAAAATGTTTGTGGACCAATTTAGAATGAAGGTCATAGTTTGAAGATTAAATTGAAATGTTCAAAATTTTAAGAACTAATTTAAAATGATAATTATAGTTTAAAGATAAAATTAAAACATTTAACTGATTTAAAATGAAACCTACTTTTAAGAACATATAATACAATTAACTCAATACAAATGGTAAGGGATGAAGTAGGACATACATATGTAGACACGTCATAGGAAATGCAACATAATATTACTAATGCCTCTTTTTGTCTTATTTGACAAATCAATAAATTCATAACTTATGTATTTATATATCATTTTTTAATATACACATTATATCAGTATGTATTTATATACCGTATACGTATAGAGTAATGATACAATGTATCTAACAGCCTCAAATCTGCCATTTCAATGAATTTAAAGAATAGGGGATACATTATTTTTAAGTGATTTTAATTTAAGTAATTTTGTTTAGGGATAAATACGAGTATGATTGGTTTGTTATTTTACTTGTTCATAATTTTATTCGAGTATTTTATCCAACTTTATTAGACACAAACAAACATATATATATTTATATAATTTTTATTAAGTAAAATA